TTCCCATAATTCCCGTACACTTTTTATTACTATCTTATTCTCGACATCACTTTACAGGCTCAGTCAAATATTGTTTCCAAGGAAATACACTCCATTGATATAAATCCATCTTGCCAATATCAACTGGCATTTCATCTTGACGATGGTTGGTAAGTTGGAGAGAAAATGCATAGCCTTTTATTCGTTTATTCTTGATGTATTTGTCAATCCAGTGTGTTCAATTATACGTTGTTTATTACAGATGTACCCCCTGTAGATTAGAAGTTTTGTCTTGGTTCTCCTCTCTTTCTTTCTTCTGTATCTATAATCAGAATAGATGAGTAAATTGCTGGAAAGAGAAATCATACTGTAAAAGAAGCAAACTAAAACGTATTGATAAACATTTATATGAAACTACGTCCACTGTATAGAAGGCCTGACATATATAATCAGTGACTCCTTACTAGGGGGGAACATGTAGTTTCTTTCTTGGTCTAGTTATTGAATTTTATAAACTTGTAGTATTGCCATTTTAGCAAATTTTCGGATAATATACAGCTTTCATTTATGTATGTTTCTGGTGATGAATGATGATATGCTAAAACTCATCTGTGAGAACTGATAGCTGATTATATGCAAAAAATGTGGTGCACAATGGACTGATGGAAATTTTAATGTACCTTGAGCTCATTTACCATTTGCCGAATTTTATGTTTTCACCTCTGCTATGCACATGAAACTCATCTAGAAAGGTTCTGCCGGACTCATGGCTGTTTTCTCAGAATAAAACACCCAACATAGGACCTGTACCTGATTAGATTGCCATACTGCATGCTTCTGCTAATTTTACCAGATCATTTTTGCTGGACAAACCCTTGTACTTGTCGTATCAAGCAGCCATGAATATCCCATACACTAAAGTATGAAAATTTCTGTCTCAACATATACTTGGGTGCAACATTTTTTCCTTGGTCCTCATTATTAGCTATTACTATCAATAACCAAATGTAACATACTACAGCAATTTCACGCTTACTTGTTTTACTATTAATATACATATCACTCCTTATACTTGTTAGATAAGTGTTACTGTTTTTGGGTTTCTACAGGTCAGGTGTTTTGGATGTCCATAGTTTGAAAGTCACACATATTCATTGCCCCCCTCCACCTTGGTTGTGAGTACAAGGGCTTCCTTAGTTTACACTATTTCTAACTGGAGATTTGTTAATAACCTTTGACTTACATTTACTTGTCTTCTTCCTGAGCATAGGGATGACTTCAATGATTTGACTAACTTACATTGCTTACGGAAACCTTCATGGCTACCAGCATATTCGGTAGGCTTAATCCTTCTGCTGCACATGCTCAGTTCCGCTCGTGTTGTATTTGTGCACAGGATATTCATTTTGTTGAGCTGGTTCTTTAAGAAGCTAATGCATCCAAAGTAGTGGTTTCTTTTATCTCTACACATATGATATATCAACCTGAAAAGAACTTATATGATATACCAATGTTTTGATCTCATAGAACACTTGGCCATGCGAAATATTTGTATGGAGAGCGGTTCTGTCTCTAGTTTATTATCTTTTGAAAGTTGAGTGAATGAGTGGAATCGGTTGGCCTTTCTATTTTCTAGTGGAGTACTCATCGGTATTTTTATATAGTAGTTGTTTTTTTTTGTTGCCTTTTTCAGTTTAGTTTTTTAAAACTTCAATGGCTGATTGTTTTCTTTTGATTACCCGAACATGCTGATATCTTGATCACCTCTCGGTTGATAAAATCATGATAGGAAATGGCGGAATGACGATAAAACTAGCTTGATTGCTTCTCTAATGCAGATGAAAGAAATTGATCTGTTTTACTTGACTGCATTAAACCGACATTGATACCATTAGAAACCAGTAATCTTGGTAGCTAGTTGAATTGTGCATGACGAAACTAGGGGGAAAATACTGATATTTGGGGTAGGTTTATAGCTTAACGAGTTGTTTCTATGTGTCTATAAGCCCTGTTTCAGACACTGTTTTACAATGATGTCGATCATCCTTTTACTTCTTTTATTCTTGCTTCTTTTTGGGTGGCCTCTATGGGGGATAGAGGAAAAGGGAGAGTGCTTTATGAAGACTGTTTGGAGATGTCACATGCTGTTCATTTTTGCATGGAACGTAAACCTCTTAGAATTTATTTGAAGTGAAATTGATGGTCTGGTTGTTATATGCTGCTTTCACTTCTTTAGTGTTTGATTTACATGTGTGCTTGCTTCAAATATAATGTTTTGCTCCAATGTGAGTTCTTATGTTCTACTGAAGTTGCTTTTGCTGCAGACTTATGTGGTTGGATCATTATCAAGTAACGGGCTCTATCTGTTGGATTTCTATCCAGATCGTAGCTCCCCTTGCCATGTGGATTTCAAGTAAGTTTCAGTTTTCTTTTCAGGATCATCTCTTTCCTTTGACATAATTGCATTAGATGGCCATAGTGTGGAATGTTTTGATTTTCTGTTTTTACTCTAAACGTACTTGATGCAGACCTTTACACATGATTGCTTTGATGTCCATAGTGGACTGTTTTGATTTATGTTTTTAATTTCAACGTACTTGATGCAGATTTTTACATATGTTTGCCTTTTCGGCTAAGATTCTTAACTGGCAAACTTGGCAAAATTTTGGGGACTCAATGTGTTTCATTTTGTTTTGAGAATACAAGCTTATATGGACATTCTTCTTATAGTGAGGAGATGCAAGAGATTTACGGAGTAAAGAGCCAGCATAAGCAAAATCAGTTCATTCCAACATCTGAAGGTGTTACTGCATGTATTGCTCATCCCTTGACTGGAACCATTATGGTCGGGACCAAGGTCTGTATGCTGAGGACTCACCTTACCTGATGGACCTTATTTGCTGGTTATGCTCAAAATACTTCCATATATATATATATATATATATATATATATATATATATATATATATATATATATATATGTGTGTGTGTGTGTGTGTGTGTGTGTGTGTGTGTGTGTGGAGCCTTTGTACCTCATGTCTTAGTAAAGTACTCCTTTTGTCCCAATTTGTATTACATGGATTCTATGGAATGTTACAGAATGTTTTACGTTATGCCATTTATCATGTATTATATTTATATATACCACTTTCACAAGTTTCAAGAGCTTCAAATAATTAATCATTTTCAAAGTTGATGTTATGTTTCCTCTATCAGCAACCTTTCTTCAATTTTATTTTAATATTTTCTTCTACTGCTTTATGAAATATACAAGTCACAGTAATATATTAAAGACAACAAGGGTGCAACTGACCACCCAATGCAGCAGGTAAGGGGCAGTCGGCTGTAGAGTCTAGTCCTACCACCTCTTTTGGATCATCCTGTGGTTTCTTTTAGATGTAGTTGCTTTGGAGGCAGCCGTGCCCTTAACTCTGCTTTGTCTGCCATGAATATAAGTTACTCGGAGACTCATTTTGGAGGGGATTTTGATATTTAAAAGAAGTAAATAGAATTGAAGTGCTTGTAGTCTCTGGAAAACTCTTATAGTCATTCTCTTATTTGTTTCCTATATAATTTGAGTGCTGTTAAGATATTGCATATTTTGAAACAGCACTCTGGAAAAAATGTAATTATATGAGCATAAATACCTATTTGATGCTAATTTTCTGTTCTAACAAGTCATTATTTCCTCCTATGGATGCAGCATTCGTCGCTTTTGGTGATTTCACAAACAGGAGGCAAGTCATTTCAAGGAGCATATGATTCTCCTAGCTTTGAAGGCAATCTCCGAAGCACCAGCTAAATCTTGCTTTCATGCTCATACGCACATCTACCAAAATAGAGTTGTTCTGCGGTGCATTGTAACAAGTGCAGCAGGAAAATTGACGGTGCATCAGCTTTAGACAATGTGTGAAGTTTGTGTTAAAAGGCAAGATCTCCGACTACTATGGAAGTGTATGAAGGAGTGATTAGAGGGGCAGGCAAAGATTGTTCCAGTTTCTTTATGACTGAACAACAACATAGAAGAGTTATTATTGGAACAATTATCCGATCTAAATGATTTGCTGAAGTTTAAGGATTTCTGCAATTCTTGAGCAAGTGAAGGAGGTGAAAGAAATCTAGCCTTCAAGTTTATGCTTGTGGTGGCGTAAGTACGCCATCCTCTTTCCTTCAATGGTTCAATCTTGTCTAACTCTTTTCATACCTGGCATTGAAATGAAAAATCATTCTTTGGGCATATGATACAGTGTTAATTTTAGCACGTTTACTCCTATTCTTATTTGTTTACCAATTACTGTAGAGATGAATGTAGTATGTCAGCAGTGGGTGCAGGATTGAACTATATATATAGTTAAACAGATTTATCAAAATATATTTTACGAATATCTATACTAACTGACTTAATATTTTGGATTGCCTTTGACATTTTCCACTTCTCAGTTTTCATGCTATACTTGGCACTCTTTCCTTTGTATTTATAGCATGCATATTCATGCACTATTGTGTTTCTACTCCTTTTTATTTTTCTTCGATATGTGGGTTTATCGGAACAACCTCTCTACCTTCACAAGAGTAGGGGTAAGGTTTGAGTACATCCTATCCGCAGACCTAACTTGGTTATCGTCGAACTATATTCCCGAGCAATATTAGTCTATTTCATGTAAGTTTTTTTTTTTTGACTTCTTACTGAAGGGTGTCATCGTCTAGCATTTAGGATCTGTAAAAGATTATGATATAGTTATTCTTTGCTTTTGACTTGAATAAAAATAAAAGAAAAAAGAAAGGAGATCTTAATATCGAAAAAAAGTTTCTTTTGCAAAGACAAAGGAACACAAATAATGACTTCTTTTGTTTGTTATTCAAAAGAAACAAGATAGTCAACTTATTGGCAATTTGCATTTTAGAGCTCAAAAAGCTCATTACACTAAAAAACAGAAATGAAAATAGCAATTTATTACATGTCAACTTGACAAGAAGCAATTTATTACATGTCAACTTGACAAGATGAACTCAAAAAGATTACAATTACAAAAGGCAGCCTGGTGCACTAAGCTCCTGCTATGCACAGGGTCGGGAGAAGGGCCGGGTTACAACGGTCTATTGTACAACAACAATTATTCATTTTTCTTTTTTCTTTTTTATTTTTTTTTATTTTCGTTTTTTGAACCCAAGAAACATGCAAGTTAAGCAGAATTATTCTTAGCAAAATCAAGAGATTTCTTTCCTTCATGAGCTTTTCCAAAAAAGTTTTGCATGTAATCACCAAACAAGACTTCTTTGTAATGAGCGACACCATCAATTTCCACAAGCTGAGGCAATGGACCTATCTTTTCACTTGGCTTTGGTGTAGTAAATAATGGAACTGAAACTCTTGATTCTGAACTTGTTGTACGAACTCTATGTTCAGCACTTTTGTATCTACCATTGCTTAAGATCTAAATCCAAATCCAAAAATAAATAAATAAGTAAATAGTTAGGGAAAATTTTTAAAATGTAAAAGTATTAGGGTCTATTTGCTTTGATCACATAAAATCCAGTGTACATTATATAATGAATTTTTTTTTACTTTTAGTCCGTGCCAGAAACTATTTACATTCTATAATTGGTTCTCGAAGCATGATTTAGAGTGTGTTAGGTATGACAAAAGTCATTTTTTTATGAAATGTTTTCCAATGTTAGTTGGTGAGCAAAAAAATAACTTACAGAACAATATATATTAAAGATTAATCATTATATTAGCCGATCATATAGCATTTTGATGACTCTTTTAATTTGAATACTAAAGATTTATAATAATATCTAAGCATTAGAGCAAGTAATATGAAGTTCAAAAGTCAAGATAGTTGTAAAGAAAATAACTCCCGCTCATAGTCATAAGTGATCGAGGGAAGTCAAATTGTTTGACGGAAATTAAAATGCGGCAACCAAAGTACACTAGAAAATGACTTTTTCTTGAAAAATAACTACCGACGGACGTAGTTAATTTAACATATTTAGTGATTGTGAGCTATGTTGCACCGATTCTCCAAAATGCTGCCATATTCGTGTCGGATTCTTCCAAGATACATTACTTTGGGAGGACCCAACACACACCAAACAATATTTTCGGAAAGTTCGAGTAACATATATAGATGGTGAGTACTTACTTGCATGGTATCTCCAACATTGATAACCAAAGCACCAGGAATAGGAGGAATTTCTATCCACTCATCTTTTCCTTCTTCTACAGCTTCTTCAAGTTTAACATATAAACCACCAATTCCATCTTGTAGTAAAACAGTTAGAGTTCCCATATCTGAATGGCGTCCAACTCCAACTGTTAGCTCTGGACTAGGACAAGTTGGGTAAAAATTCATGTTAACCATTTTAAGTCCTGTTAATGATTCAAATTTTGTGTCATCTAATGTTGCTCCAAGGTTTCCAAATAGTATCTCCAATAGTTTCCTCACCATTTTTGTTGATGACTTCAAGTATTCAAGAGCCACTTCCCTGTAATTTTGAGAAAAAGATTTAAAAAAAACATGTATACACATATATTTGATATGGTTTAACTTATATACATTAGAAAAAGGTTGTTCGGTGCACAAGGTATCCTATATTTATACAGGGTCCGTGAAGTATCACACCTAAAGAGGTGTGATGTAGACAGCTAGCAGTGGCGGAACTAGTATTTTCACCAAGGGGTGTCAAACATAAAAAAAAAATACACCAAAAAATTTAAGAGAGTCAACGTATAGTAAATATACATAAAACATAAAATTTATCTCGCAGTACAGTGTCATTTCCGGCGAAGGGGTGTCACACCCCTTCGTTGAATGTGGCTCCGCCACTATAGACAACCTACCCTAATGTATGCATTAGTGGTTGCTTCTACTGCTCGAACCCGTGAATTATAGGTTACACAGAAACAAATTGATTGTTGCTTTAAGGCTCTCCTTCAACTTATATACACCGGCAATATTTTTTTTTACTCTATAGGTTGCAGCAGGTTGTATATTGTTGGTTTCCCATATAGATTTGGTATGAGGTTATTGGCTCTTTATATGATTTTGGACAATCCTCGTGTCATGATCTAATTTTTCGCTCGAACATTTTATATTCAATGACAATATAAAGAATTTTTACATTGTCCATGAAATTTATATGTTGTAGTTGATTGCGTACCTAATTTTCTATGTAACTAATTCTACCCATTACAAATAATTCCTAACAATTATTCCTTTCATGATCGATCTGATACATTATAACGTTCTTTTTCATTGTCAATATAAAAGAGCTAGGCTCTCTTCGTTACACTAAAAAGTTATGTGCATGAAGTAGTGAAACTAAAAGAGGAAGTGATCTTCCCTATGTCGAACTTACGACATGATCTAATTTTTCGCTCAAATATTTTATATTCAATGACAGTATAAAGAATTTTTACATTGTCTATGAAATTTATATGTTGTAGTTGATTGCGTACCTTATTTTCTATGTAACTAATTCCACCTATTACAAATAATTCCTAACAATTATTCCTTTCACGATCGATCTGATACATTATAACGTTCTTTATCACTGTTAATATAAAAGAGTTAGACTCTCTTCGTTACACTAAAAAGTTATGTGCATGAAGTAGTGAAACTAAAAGAGGAAGTGTTCCTCCCTATGTCGAACTTACGACATGAATTCAAATTTAGTCGAGCTAGCTCAATACAGATACCGAACACCAACTGAAAAACAAATAAATAAAAGAGAAAGTGAAGAAGCTTCTTACTTGCATTCATTTGGCCATTGAGAAAGTGCTTCATTATCATTAGTATACATCATACTAACATAATCTTTCCATTCCAAAGCCATTTCCATTTCAGGTACAAAACTAGTCCCATATTTTACTAAAGGACTTGGACTAACTCCTTTAAGATAAAGAGCCTTTTTTTCAGGTGGTTGAGAAAAAAACTTATGTGCTGCATTTTTAAGTAATTCCAATAATTCCAAATTAATACCATGATTTATCACTTGAAAAAAACCAAGTGTTTCAGCAGCAATTGAGATATCTCTAACCACTTGATCATTTTCAGGTCCATTTAATTTTGATAAATCAATGGCAACCAATTCTTGATATTTTTGTTGGATTCTTGAATTGATAATTTTCTTATCAATTCTTTCATTTGGTGGTTGAATGTATCTTTCTGGTACAATTTTAATGCCATTGTCTACAAGTCCCTTTACTCCATTACCCTTTTGGACCACAAAATCAAATAAGAAATTCCCATCATCAAAACTTGGGGCCATATTCTTGAAAAAAAAAAAGTTTAAATTTTGCTTTTGTGTTTTGGGTTGTAATTGGAAGATTTTGTGATTTTCAATGAGGAATTTTGAACCAATTTATAGTAAAGGTTTTTGGTTATATTGAAATGTATAAGATCATAAGGTCAAGTTTTATTTTATATTCAGAAGGCAAGATTTAGGACTTGAAGTTGTTTGAGATACTATTAGTTGAGCATAAAAAAAATAAAAAATAATATATATATATATATATAAACATTCCTCTTTGATTTTTTATCCGATAAAAATAAGATTTTGACTTTGTCTATATATACAGTTTTTACACCATCAGGTTGATTTGACATACAATAACAAGTGACTATTCAAAGCACGTTAGCATGATATGGTAATTTGGAAATAGGGTAATAACGTGCTACAACTAATTAAATTAAATAATTTTTTTTATACTGTCAATGTATATTATTTAAATCCTTAGTTCAAACACTAAGTAATTATCTAAATTTAATGTCAAAAAAACGTAAAAATAGCACGGTATAGTCAGTTTTCGGACTGGTCATTCAAAAATAGCCAGCGTTGACGAAGTCAATGAAAAATAGTCACTATTTTGCTGCAACAGAGACCGATCTAGCATAATATACTGGAGTTTGGTGCACCTGTGTATGAACTCCAACATATTATGCTGGATCGGTATACTTTGCTGACTCCAGTATAATATACTGGAGACTGGAGCATCGGTGCTCCAAACTCCAGTATATTATACTGGACAATTTTACTTGCTGGAACTCCAGTATAATATACTGACGTATTTTCCAGGTTTTGAACAATGTTTTCGCTCAGATTTATCTTTACATGAAAAGTGGCTAAATTTCGATTACTTTTGAAACTGGGCTATTTTTGAACGACCAATTGTAAATCTGGTTATTTTTGAATTTCACCCCAAAAAAACATGTACGTAATATGTTTGTGCATGACAATTCTATGAGATTAAACTATAGATTAACAAAGGCATGATTCTGTACCTCTAAGTAGGTGATAACAAAGAAGACTCTTTTGAGATTGAATTAAATTTAATTCTTAAGTCACTTAGATGAAGGTTTGGCAAGCCACTACAGTCACACTCAATTTTACACACTATACCAAAACTCAACAATTTATTGGTCACGGAAATTTTTAAAAAAAAGGAAAAAAGAGTAGCCTGGTGCATTAAACTTTAGCTATGCACGGGGTCAGCGGAAGGGCTGGACGACAAGAGTTTATTGTACGCAGCATTAACTGTTTCCACTGCTCGAACCTGTGACCTCATGGTCACATGACAACCTAAGTTACTCGTACACGGGTGCGAGTGTCCAATAGGGGTATGGATCTAGAGGTCAGATCCTTGGAGATGTAAATTCTAAGATTCGAGGATACAGATACTAGTTCGGATACGGGTACAGGGATCCGGCTAAAAATAATTAAAAAATAAAAATATAAAAATATCTCTAAATTATGAGAAATTTTGTGGAATACTTACATATAGCTTGTAAAGTGTAGATTTCTTTTTTATTCTCAAGTTGTAGATAAGTAAATGATTGATTTCCTAGATAAGGTATGTTATTTTCTTCAAATTTACCCTAGTTTTGGTTCTGATTTCGGGAATCAAATTGTATCTCGTCTCTAATTTTTTTGTCCGTCGTGGTCGAAATACCCAAAATTGTTTGAACAAATTCGGTGCGGATCCCATACCCACACTCATACTAGTGTCGTATCGACACGAGTGTAGCACCTAAACTACCGTGACGGAGCAATTTAGATGACAACAACTTTACCAGTTACGCCAAGGCTCCCCTTCTAGTTAGGAAAATTGTTGAATTTTTTTTTACCCTTTCAGATCAAGATATGTTTCATTTCATGTGAGTAGATACTGACTGCATAGGGTGAGATATAATCACTATGTTTTTGTTATTAGTCAACTGCATAAGATTTGTTGATATCTCCTTATCAGAGAATGATTTCTAACTAAAATAAGATTCAAAGGCAGCATAATTTCTATTGTGGCATGAGCCATGATTCCTTTTGGTGGTCAAATTAGAGGCTTTGCACCAATGTGTTTGGTTGGTAGGAAGAATATCTAACAAACCTTTCTTGAGAGTCCCTTAACAACCAAAAAGTCTTATGAGGCATCATATTTTCCAATGTTGTTCGGATTCTCAACAAATAATACCGCACTTGTGTTTGATTCTTCAAATATATACTATTTTTGGAGATCTAATACACACCCGATAATATTTTTGAAAAATATAAACAACACCATACCAAGACTATGGTCACTTATATACATCTAGAACAAGGAAAAAAATTATACTATGCGATCTTTTTCTGAATCTTGCATGAACGCGATATATTTTATGCACCAGGCTACCCTTTTTATCATGTTTTTCACCAGTTGGCTACTAATATATAATTTATAATAGAGATTTATAACTAATTATATTATAATTCAGTTGTGTAAATATTTTTTTTTACACCATTGATGCATAATTAAATATCTTGTAACGAGATCATAGTTTTACTTTACGTAATTAATGTTCTTTGGAACATGAAAGACATGCTAAAATTGATAGAGATGGATTCAAGATTTGAAGTTTATTTAAATTGAGAATGCTTTTCTGAAAGAAAACAACTTATCAAACTTACCAACACAGTAAAGTTAATGCTACATCTTTTATTATCTCAAACCATCATTACAACACTACTCACATGCCTCTAAATGGTCTTTTTGTTCTTCCTAATCCACATTTACTAGAAAGGCCCATTTGCTGCAATGAGGCCCAATCTGTTACTTGGACAGGTTTTAAAAAGAGTAACCCAATATACGAAATATCTCGCGTTCATGCAGAATCTGAAAAAGGATCGTACCCCAAGAGCATGTGATGTAGGCAACTTACCTTGATATAAACATTTGTAAAATCTGAATTAATTATTCAGGCATGCTAGGGTTGTTCAAGTGATAAACACCCTTCACCTCTAATTTTAAGGTTGTAAGTTTGAGTTACCAATGGAATAAATTAACTTATTTTTGCAAAGACTATTTTCAGAAAATAAGTTATTTTAACTTTTTTTCGATATTTGAAAAAAAAATTACTTACTAAAGACACTATTACCAAATTGGATAGTATTTTAATAAATTATTTGACTATAAAGAAGAATTGGCAATAAGGTCTAAGTACTTCTGAATAGTGATATGAAGTTAATAGTAACTTTATATTGGACAACAAAAGTAAGATTTAATTTTTAGAGTAAACCTTTTACATAATTAGTTTTAACGTTCGTTAAAATGTTTGAAGTGTTAACTAGGTCGGGGACAAGTTTCTCTCTTCTCCCAATTACAATTAAAAGAGAAGAAAAATTAAGCTTCGGCAAATAAAATAGGTTTTCTATTTTAAATCTAGTCCATTTATTATTCCTCCAATTATATTTTTATTTTTATTCTTATTTTTAGGGTAACAATCAATCTCAATTGCATCACATCAATCCTTATGTGATATTTCAAACACGATCTTCTTCTTAGATCTTCAAGATATTAAAAAGTAAAGACAGAAGTTAACAAAGGAATAACCTAAATATACTTGGGTCAAATCAAACTCTTAAAGTTCATTCTTTCACGGCACACCTTTCATTTCCATTTGTAGATATAAATCTTGACTTCTTATATATAGACAAAGTAGAATATTTTTTACATGTTTTAAAACATAATTATATATGATCATATATGAAAATTGAGACCAGTAACCTAAAAAATATAACACGTTGCCTGTTACAATAAGTTAAGATATATTAATAATATAAAAAAATTGTACTCCATCAATATATGATAGTTAAAAGGGTAGCCCCGTTCACGCAGGATCCGAGAAGAGTTGCACCCAAGCAGGGGCGTACGTAGAATTCTAACAACGGGTTCAATTGAACCTATAACTTTCGATGCAGAGTAAAAATTTATATGTGAAAGTGTATTAAAATTACAAAAATAATAGATATGAACCCATAACTTTAAAAATATAATGAGTTCAATGCTAAAAACCTTAAAGTTGAATCCATAAGGTTTAAATCTTGGATCCGCTGGGTATGATAGACAGCCTATTCCAACACAAGCATTGACTGCTTTCACGGCTCGAATTCGTGACCTATAGATCACACGAGGGTAAGAGAGAAAGATTGATGAAGGGGTAGTTATGTGTTGATAATCATCCTTTTGTGGATTAAAACAACACAAAATGGCGGATTCGTTTTAGTGGTCTACCTGATGTAAATTTAAATTAATCGAGTCAATAAATCTCAAATTTCAAATTATCTAATAATCATTTTGAACTGATGAAAGAGTAGAGATTCTAGATGAAGTCAATTCTTTTTTATTTTTTTAGTTAAAATTACTGAACTCAAACTTCCTTTCGGTGGATTTAGACAGCAAAAATAGCCATAGCAACCACCACCAGAAATAGGGTTATTATGCCCTTTGGTCCTTTCATTTGCTTTCCGTACGAGTTCAATGATCAACATGGCTTTTTTTTCATGGTATTTTGTATCTAAAATCCGTTAGACTCGATTAATTTGGATTTGCATCATATCGGCTACTTAGACGGGTAAAACATTGTATACCAAGGGGTAATTGAATTCTATGAGTCGTACTTCAAACTTATGGGTAAGAGTACAGAAGTTTTAACCATCTCATCACATCCTTTGATGGTTGTTTTCCTTGAAATCATACATAATCTCAGAGTTTTCCTTCTTCTCTACTAGACGATGACCATTATCTTACGAATTTTCTTTTGTTTTCCTTGAAATCCATATTATATTGAGGTCCTGACAAATTCAGATACACATTCTTGCGTAAGATCCATTAAAAGAGAAGCACTTTCTATCAGGATTTTTTCATACCAAGAATTCGTTCCTAAGAGCTCTGAACCATCATTAACAGTATATATAAGATAAAAATCAAATGATTAAGTACAATTAAACTTTAATTAATT